AGTAGTTGTGTCTCTTCCATTCCTGTGAATGAATTAGCTGTAAAGCTTTCAGAGTAACCTACGTAGTAACCCACATAACACCAAATGCATTAAATTTTTGTACTCCTTTAATCGTAGGCTATGTAACCATTCCGACCCACCTGTTCTTAACATTTTAGTTAACAACTCAAATATCTTATATGTTTTCTGTCTACTGACCTCCATTTCGACTTCTGTCCTCCAAAATTAATTCAAACCTTTATACACTCGCACCATAGCTTATTTGGCAATAAGATTATTCGAACCGATAGGCCTAGATACAGATAAGTTATAAGACATCTAGACAGTAGTTTCTCAACTGGTTTAAAACCAAGAGTACAAGCGGACTACTGCAGAGCTGATCAAACACTGATCGCATCCAATGCTTGCCGTTTTTTCACCGATATCCTCCACGTTTGATCTCGCAAGATACCCTCCTCAAAGCGGCCATGGCACCGATTAGTCGCGAGTTTCATTCGCGATTGTCGCATACCGGCAAGCATCAGCGTATGCCCCTGGTAGATCAATTCATTATCCTGATACCAAACAGTTTCTTTCCTCAGTCTAACAAAAAGAACTGTTAGGACGGAGCTCAACCAAACCGTCAGGTCATGTACGCATACAAGTCATGCCACACGCATGCTCGCAAAACTCTAGGCAGGTCGAGCCCGATGGGATCGATCAATCGATATGCCAAGGACACAATTTAGTGGGACGACTCGGCAGTTTTCTGGTATACGTGATTGTGCTTGCCATTTGCGTAGTAGTCCGCCAGATACGTTTAATGCTTTTCTGTTGGTCAGATTGAATGGGGGTCGCCCGAGCGCGTGCCAAGTTCGTTTTGAGATCAAAGTTATGTCAGAAACAGTGTCTTTTTCCTGGCCTACTAGCTCAACATTGATGCGGACAGTGAGATAATTGCGTTTTTTCTATTTCAGGTTCGACAGCTTGACTTTTGGGTTCAAACTTTGTCGACGATGATTCGAATCGACTTGGCTCGTGACATACCTTTGACGTAGAAGGATGTTTGGTGTGACAGTAGTCTTCTTTGTATCCTCGTTTGCGACCTTTTTGGCACACGCGTTTCTTGAAGGGACAGTAGCGTGCGTAATGCCATTCTCCGCATTCCCAACATGCTGTGGGGTGTCTTCGGGTAGCGGCTTCTTGAGACATTCAGGTAGACATTCACCATGGCTTTGTGACAGCATCGACAATGGATGAGGCCGTAACCGGGCCGCGTTGCTCAACAATGGCTGAGTCATGTTTGAGGTTCTAGAGCCGCTGGAATTCGTTTGTTAATGTCCGCAAATTGATGTTAGGGTCTTTTTTGATGCGATTTAGTAAACGAGCGCGGATTTCTGCTTCGCGGGGAGACTGAAGTGCGCTCACAAATATCAAGCATTTGAATTGGTCATCAGTCACTGAACGCAGCTTGAATTTCTCGAACTATCAGTTCACAATGCTGGCTAGTGTCAGATAGTCTGTAAGATTTTTCGCCCACTTGAGGCAGTGATACCGGATACTGAACAAAGACGCCTTTTCACCAAACGTGTGTGAAAGTTGTTGGACCGTTTCTTCGAAAGTGAAATCACGTGGACTTTTA